AGCAGCAGCAGCAGCAGCAGCAGCCGCAGAGCCCAAGCAGAGAGAGAGAGCTCAAAGACCAACACACACACGCACCAGCCAAAGCCGCACCTAACCACCATCCAAGGCGTCTATCTCGACCGTCTTTGCATCACCCAGCCAGCGCACTTCGCCAACAATCGCAGCTGCGCTACCAACTGCGTGATCACTCTCGTACATACGCCCCGTACACCCCCCACACACACAACGTCACCATGGCGGGCCGACTCGGGGGCATGATGCCCAATGCGCCCATCATCCTGCTGCGCGAAGACACGGATGTGTCGCAGGGCACGTCGCAGCTGCTGCACAACATCGGCGCGTGTGCCTCGATCGTGTCGTGCGTCGCCTCGACGCTCGGCCCGCGCGGCATGGACAAGCTGATCGTCAACGAGCGCGGGCAGGCGACCATCTCCAACGACGGCGCCACGATCCTCAAGCTGCTTGACATCGTCCACCCGGCGGCCAAGACGCTCGTCGACATTGCACGCGCACAGGACGCCGAGGTGGGCGACGGAACCACCTCGGTGGTGCTGCTCGCCGGCGAGATGCTCAAGGAGGCCAAGCCGTTCATCGAGGAGGGCGTCGCACCGCACGTCATCATCAAGGGCTACCGCAAGGCGGTGCAGCTCGCGGTGGAGCGCATCAACGAGATGGCCGTCACCATCGACAAGTCCGACAAGCAGGCGTTCTACGACCTGCTGCTCAAGTGCGCCGGCACCAGCATGTCGTCCAAGCTCATCGTCTCCCAGCGTCCCTTCTTCAGCAAGATGGTCGTCGACGCCGTCATGGCGCTCGACCAGGACGACCTCGACCAGAGCCTCATCGGCATGAAGAAGGTGCCCGGCGGCGGCATGCAGGACTCGCTGCTCGTGCACGGCGTCGCCTTCAAAAAGACGTTTGCCTACGCCGGCTTCGAACAGCAGCCCAAGAGCTTCACCAACCCCAAGGTGCTCTGCCTCAACGTCGAGCTCGAGCTCAAGGCGGAGAAGGACAACGCCGAGGTGCGCATCAACGAAGTGTCCGAGTACCAGGCGGTGGTGGATGCCGAGTGGCAGATCATCTTCAACAAGCTCGAGGCGATCGTCAAGACGGGCGCCAAGGTGGTGCTTTCCAAGCTGCCCATTGGCGATCTGGCGACGCAGTACTTTGCGGACCGTGACATCTTCTGTGCGGGGCGCGTGCCTGCGGACGACATGAAGCGCGTGGTGCAGGCGGTGGGCGGATCGGTGCAGAGCACGTGTTCGGACATTGGCGACAAGCACCTGGGCACGTGCGGCCGCTTCGAGGAGCGCCAGATCGGCGGCGAGCGCTTCAACATCTTTGAGGAGTGTCCGCAGGCCAAGACGTGCACGCTCGTGCTGCGCGGAGGCGCCGAGCAGTTTATCGCCGAGGTGGAGCGATCGCTGCACGATGCCATCATGATTGTGCGCCGCGCGATCAAGAACAGCCACGTCGTCGCCGGCGGTGGCGCGACCGAGATGGAGCTGTCCAAGTACCTGCGCGACTACTCGCGCACGATCCAGGGCAAGCAGCAGCTGGTCATCGGCGCGTTTGCAAAGTCGCTCGAGTGCATCCCGCGCCAGCTCGCCGACAATGCCGGCTTCGACGCCACCGACCTGCTCAACCGCCTCAGGATGAAGCACGCCCAGGGCGCACAGTGGGAGGGCATCGACATCGATGCAGAGGACACGGCAGACCTCATGGAAAAGTTCGTCTGGGAACCCAGCCTGGTCAGGATCAACGCGCTTCAGTCCGCCGCCGAAGCCGCGTGTCTGATCCTCAGCGTCGACGAGACCATCCGCAACCAGGCGAGCGAAAAGGCCCAGCCTGGCCCAAAGGCGCCCCCCGGAACCATGCAGAAGGCGCTCCGTGGCCGTGTCCCGCGCCGCTAGATCCAGTCCATGCACAATCAAACGCTCACAGAAAATGTACTTTTACATTCCGTTCCTTGTCCATTGCATTCCAGGATGAATCGTTAGTTCCACCGCCATGTCTGGTGGAATGCGGCGAAGCGCGCAAGGATGTTGCGGCGAAGCTGGTCGTCCTCGCGCATGAGCTGGTTCGTCGCTTCGCTCGGAAAGTCGAGCCGAGGTCGTGTGAGGAAGGTCGCTTGCAGAGTGCGGCGGGCCAAATGAAAAGCCTGCTGTTGGTCGAGCGCAAACGTCTGCATCACAAGGCGGAACTCGTTCGACAGCGGACTGTTGAACACGCCGCTATCGTCGGTCGAGATGCAACACACGGTGCACTCCTCTTGCTCTGCATGCGAATCGACGTGTGTGTAGTGGTCGCGGAAATGGTGACGTTCCAGACTCGGCGTCGAGTTGGACAGCAAGTTACTCGTCAGACACAACTCGATAGGCACACCGGACTGCTTGAGCAGTGCAAGGTTGGACGCGCTGACAAAGCAGCAGTGGCCAAATCGGTCCGGGTGGAAAGCGAGCATGGCGGCCATCTCGTCGTCGCGCCCGCGCACCTCACCGGCATGCAGTGTGATCTTGAGCCCGTGCAAGCGAGCCCGCTGCAGCGCAGGCTCAAAGTTCGCCCATTCGCCTTTGGTCGGGTCACCGGAGAGGTCCATGCCGACGACGCCGCGGGTCTGAAAGCGCAGCGCAAGGTCGACGATCGCCTGTGCGTCCGAGGCCGTGTGCTTCGCACGGTCGATCGAAAGAATCAGACGCAGACCAACTTTGTCGCCCATCTGCTCGCATGTGTATCGCTCAAAGCCTCGGAGTACAGCCTCGACATACTCATCCAGGGTACCGGCATCTTGTGCGGCCAATGAGGCAGGCAGAGCGCGCGGAGTAGTGCGGATCTCCGCATACACCACGCCGTCGTCGTCGAGATCATAGGCGAGTTCGACCGCCAGTCGCTCGATATCTTGCAGCGTCGTGACGCACGCATGGATCACGCGAAACACATCAAACGCCTCGCTGAGCGTCTGGGGCGTGGGCGAGTCCAGCATGGCCGCGGCCGCATCGATGCCCCTGGCAGCCGCGAGCTCGCAGAGCGTGCTCCGCCGGATCGAGCCGTTGAGATGCGCGTGGAGCTCAATCTTGGGCAGCCGGTGCACAAACTCGTCCCGCCGTGCGGACTTGCTTGTCGAAGTCACCGCCATCACTGCAGGTCCGAGTAGCCAAGTGGTTCGTGTGATGGAGGTACAAGGCTCGAACCCACCCGCGAATGCAGTCCGAGTGACAGGCGCACTTGAAGCTGCAGTATTGATTTCTGAAACCGGATCCGATGCCGTCGCCTTATGCCAGGAGGATCTCTACCACAAGCCTTTGCTTCAGGCGACACTCGTAGCGGTCGGCAGCACATTTCGAGCTAGATCAACGCTCGTCCCACTCGCACAAGTCGACAGTCGGTGATGAAACGCCGAACGACCCGAGATGCTGGTAGATCGGGCCATCACTGGAGTCCGTTCCCGATCCCCTTGATCGGGCATGTACCACCCAAGCCAGTGTGAAGTGTGACGGCATTCTTCGTTCAACGGAGATGGCGGAGGTCGACGAGTGCGAGCAACACCCGCCGTCATTCGTCGAGAAAGAGTTCTACCGAAACCGTTCGCCACGTTGTTTGGCGAGGCACGGCAAACGCACGTCGAACCTACGGCAAATCTTGTCGGAGATTTTCGGTCAGGGCCAGCAGCGAGCTTGCCCATGTGTGAGCTGATGGTGACGTCGACGTTCATGTTCGAATGGCGATGACCGCGGCTCGTTGATTGGTGTTGCTCACGCACGCAAGTTTCGCAAGCGACGACCCAAACCCTTGGCAAATGCGTCGGCGAGATTTGCCGCGCCCCCAGCGAGCGCCGAGCCGTTCCACCACGCGGCTTCGTCCGTCCCGCGCTCAGAGCCATGGTCGCGTCGGGGGCATTCGGAGGGGTTGAGGCCATGTCAGGGCGAGCAATGCCGTTCCTCTCAAAAGATCAAGGAGATGGCAGAGTCGTTCGCTTCGTTCGCGCGAGAGGCCTTGCTGCGGACGAAGAGAAGCGGCCGGCGCAGTCTCGGTGGTTTCGGGCTGGGCTGTCCGTTTTGCCAGAAATCCCTTTTCTTGGCGTCTGAGCAGTGTCGCTGTCGGAGCTGCACGATTTGAGCTCTAAAGTCGCACTTGAGTGGGACCCTGCGCCTGCGTTAACTTATCGCAGGCGTTCCGCAATCACCGCGATTGCGAGCGGGCCTGCTCCGCCCCTCCTTTTCTCCCTCTCGTAAACCTTGACGTCGCTTCTTTGGCTTTGGTGGCCAGGGCTTGCTGGCCTGGACTTCGGAAGATTAGAAAGGGCCGACGGCGAGGGCGAGGTTTGTAGCGGACCGTGCCGTTGCGCAAGATGGCAACTGGCCAAGAAGATCGCGCGCGAGCCGGCAGTCGGCTCTCTCGCACGCGATCCTGCTCGAAAAAGACAAAAAAGGGTCTCGAAAAATCGAACTGCGCCCGGCACTTTGTCAGGGCAGCCGGGCGGCAGCCGAAACGCTGACAGGGGCCATGCACGGGTGGCCCGACCGTAACTTGACTTCAGGGTTCAGCAATCGGAGCTGCCTCGAGGTGCATGCATACATGCCAGCCGAGCCGTGACAGTGCCATTGTGGGAGCCGGTTCGGTCCACTGTGATCCTGGGCCTGACACTGTCCCAGCCGCACCGCCTCGGCTTGTTGTAGGTGGGAGGCTCGTCAGGTGGGGCGCTTTCGCATCCACCCGGCCCACAAACGTACGGCAGCTCGCGTGAGCCAGCGTTGGGCGGCACCTGAAAACGGCCCACGATAAGAAAAAAGGCGGCTCGACCGCCGAAATGAATGGCACCACAAGTCTTTCGTGAGCGGTTGTTCCCTCGTGCTCTTTTGGTCGTCTGTCTTGACTGGTATCAACATGCTTGCGGCTCCCATTGAATTGGTAGAAGAAAGCACGACAGACCAAGAAGGAAGGCGGCGAAGAAGATGGACACCCTGCGCCCAACTCCGACGTGGGGGGCGAGGGGCGGACTTCGACGAAAAGGCCGGTCGGGAGCAGCTCCACCGCACGGCGGGTAGGCTTGGCATTTCCCAACTCTTGCCAAAAAAACGCCTCGCCCGCCCGAGCCCACGCCGTCCGTGGTGCCTTGCCTGGCCTGGCCTGCCTGGCCTCATTCGAGATAAACTTGGCGTTCCCATCCCCCCCACTTCACCGTCGGCTAAGCCGTCGCCCTTCTCATGGCCTGCATCTCCATCACCAAAGCGGGACACCACGTTGTGCTTTGCAACCGACGCTTGAATGCACTCAAGTGTGTCGTGGGAGCGTGCGTGCTTGGGCGCAAAGTGGAGGAGTAGGAAGCGGCTGTGTGAGTCGGCTGACCGCATGACTGACAGCTCCAGCGCAACTAGCCGCACGGCGGGAGCCGATAGGCGAGCATCACGATTGGCACCTCCCGCGGCCAGAGTCGAGGGCCTCTCCCGCTCCCTCTATCCATGCCCGGCTGTCTTGCCTGAGGCTTTCAAACTCCCTCGAGAAGAATAGCCGCTCCTCTGCTTGCTCAGAAGAGCTAGGATGCCCTTCGTCTGGACCCTGGGCCGCCTTCCTCCTCCTGTGTCCTTGCCTCCTGCTCTGCCTCTGCCTCTGCCCATGTCCCTGCTCTTTGTTCTCACCCACGGTTGATTCGGCTCGCCTGTGGCCAAGATCTTGCCTTTCTCTCCCTCAAGCTTAACCTTGTTGGGCCGGACCTCCGTGTGCTGTTCGTTGCCTTTCCACCACCACCACAGCCACTTCCAACATCCTATCCTACGTAGGCCTGCGCGGAGCAGCCCTTGACATCGTCGGCATTTCCAAACCAAGCGCTTTCCATCACACGCCTCCTGCATCAAGTGAGCCCGCCCTCCCTGGCCGCGACCGCCTCCTCGGCAGCCTGACAGCAATCATCGACACACAGCAAAAAACCCCTCCACTGCAAAGATGGACAAGGGCAAGCAAAAGGCGCGCGACCCCGAGCTGCCGGTGGAGGTAGCTCCTCCTCAAACCACTGCAGAACTTAACGTTCCAGGCAGCTCCCGCATTCCCGAGGCTGTGGCCATCCCGAACCGGGCAGCCACCTCTGCATCGCGTCACGGCCATGACCATATCACGAGGGAAAGTCCATCATCCTTCAGCGACATGACCGGCAGTCCGGGTCGTCGTCCAACTCATACCAGAGCCAAGTCATCGCTCGGCTCTTCCAACATGTTCGACTTCTTCGGCCCCAGTTCCATCGCCTCGGACGCTACTGCTGCCACCAGCTTCCATTTTGGCTCTCCCGGTACGAGCCCCAAGCTGGCCTCAACGCTCGAGGCGGCCTCCCCGCACATTGCGTCGCAGCAGCGTGACTCGCTCGAAGACACCGTGGAGACCCGACCTGCTCAACGAAGCGCATTACAGCCGGCCTCCGCAGATGCGCCGGAGCATGCGTCTGCTTCCGAAGAGGAACGCCTCGGGCCGCAGGAGTCCGCACTCGGAGCTCCGAGTGCCCCCATGCTTCCGCTCTACCCAGACGAGATTCTGCCAGACTACGAGGAAGCTCCGGAGTACACTCCACCCCTCTCTCAGCCCTCGAGCAGCAGCAACCGCTCCAAGACGTCGGCTTTCCGAACAGCCGCTGCGAACCGGTTCCTCTCCAGCCGTATCGCCAAGAAACTCAACTTACCCCCGGCTCTCCAAAGCCGACTTCAAGGCACTCAGACACCGGATGCCCACTCCTCATCGCAGCACTATCCTCCATTCTCATCAGCCGCCCACTCGGTCAACAGGGCGCCTTTCGCGAGAAGCGACAGTGCACCGGACCTTGCTCGCACCAGACATGCAAGCTCTCGCACGCCAATCGAAGTGCGTAGCTATGCAGCAACGGCTTACATGGATGGCGCCAGAATGGGTCCGGCTCCGCGTCGACCCAGACTCGCATCATCACGCCCTTCGACTGCCCACACCAGCCCGAATCGATCTCAAACCCCCGACGCAAACTCCGCCCGACCCGCTACGAGCGCAGGCACCGTGCCCACTCGAGGGCAGCCTACCGCATCGCCCCTCCTGAGGACTGCAGTGTCCTCTGCGGTGCCATCCCGCAGAAACAGTGGCGAAACGCGGCCGCCGAGTCGAGCCACAGTCAGCTCGGCTCCCAATGGTGGACTCTTTACATGCGGATACTCTGCTACCCGTAGCGGGGCCACAACGCCCACCCGGCCTGGCTCCGCACGCAAGGCCCGAAGTCGCAAAGTCAGCTTGCGTAGCCTAGGCGACCTCTTTTCCGTCAATCGCGAACGAGACCTTCCTACCCCCCCTCTGGATCAGCAGGAGGGGCGATCGCGACAGAATGCGCCACTAGCGACGCTCTTGAGAGAAGTTGTCTCGCCAGTCTCTTCCGAGACTCTCATTTCTGCTCGCGTCCATTCGAGCTCGCTCGTGCGCCCAGCTTTGATGACGACGACCCGGAGCAGCGCCCATGCCAGCATCGATGCGGCCGAATCTGGAACCCCGGTCCTGATCTTGCCACATCAGAGCAGACAAGACGCACTGCACAAGCTCCCTCGCGAGGTCGTCCTTACCATCTTCAAGAGCCTTGTGGATCTCCACGTCGAGGAGCACAAGAACGCGGTCCAGAGCGGGGCTTGGCGAGGCAAGCAGACGAGTGAGACACGTTGGGTTGGTGCAGAGGCCGCTGTCCGGGAGCTCGCCCGCCTCAGCCGCGTTTCTCGAACGTGGCAAAGTTACGTTCTGGACGGCCAGCTCTGGCAGAGTCTAGCATTTTCGGACTATCCTGACATGGCAGAGGAAGCCATGATCAGCATCGCCAACGCCGTAGGGCCATTCGTCCGGCGCCTCGACTTGCACGGGCTTGCAGGACTCCGCTCGAGCGTGCTTCTAGCGCTGTCCAAGGCACAGCGTGCTCGATCCTCGACCGGCAGCGAGCTCGAGCTCGGCACTTCATCTTCCGAGATGTCAGCCAAGACTTGCCAGCTCGAGGAGCTGGACCTGGAAGGGTGTCGACAAATCTCAACAAGTGCGCTCAACATCGTCCTTTCACGTTCGCCGCGGCTCAAGATTTGCAGGCTGGCGAATCTGCCATGCGTCGACAACACGACATTGTGCACGTTGGCAGCGTGCGCACCCAAGCTGGAAGTGCTCGACGTCAGCCGTTGTGCAAATGTGGACGGTGAGGGTATCCGAGCCTTCTTTGCCATCCAGGAAAGCGAGCTGAACAACTCTGCTCTGCTCAAGGAGCGCAACGTCGGGTCCAAGTTCCGCGAGCTGCATGCTGCTGGCGTGGCCGGCTTTGACAGCGCGACCTTGGCTCAGCTCGGCAGGCACTGGCCCAACCTTGAAGTGCTGGATCTCAGCTATTGCAGCGATGTCAATGATGCTGCCGTTGCCGCTCTCGTCAGCAGCGAGGGTGACCTGGTGAGCGAAAAGGGCAACTTTGCCACTCTCACGCCACGTCAGGCTGGAAGTCAAGGAGACGAGGAGATGGCTCGCAGAACCTTCCCATACCTTCGACGGCTCAATTTGTCGTCTTGCCGCGCCTTGACTGACCGAGCTTGCGTCTCGCTATCGCACGCGGTCCCCAAGCTCGAGGTGCTGGAGCTTTCCAATATTGGACCAGCTCTCAAGGATACCGGCCTGGTCAAGCTTCTGGCCACGGTGCCGCAGCTACAGAAGCTTGACTTGGAGAGGGCCACTCAGATTACGGATGCGGTGCTGTCCGCTCTGACGCCTCCGGAATCTCACGCCGAGGCTTTCGGTCTCGCTGTACCCGATCGAGACACCTTGATGAACGGCGTAAGGCCACGCGGCTCACTGCTGCACCTGGCGCGCCGATCTGCAAGCCGTCGCAGGCAAGCCAACTTGTCGTCCGCAGAAACGCAAGATGATTCGCCCCCTGGCTATAGCGAAGAGGCCGTGGCGGCACTGATCCCGGCAACGGGAACGCGTCTGACGCATCTCGTCCTGTCGTCGGCCAATCGGCTCACGTCCGAGGCGCTGCTGCTCCTCGTCAACCGATGTCCGTTCCTGGTGCATCTCGAAGTCGACGACACGCATGCCGATAACGAAGTGGCGATGCAGTTTGTACAGCTTGCGCGCTATCGCAAGGTGCAGAACGCTTATCTCTGCCTGGTCGATTGCAGGTCTTTCTCTCGCGATACATATTCGCATCTGAACAGCGCAGATGGAGCTGATGGAGGCGTCCGACCGCGCCGAGGATCTCGCGGCTATCCGTTCAGGCACTTTTTCTACGACGACGCGGATCCTGCCGCGGGCTGTGCAGCAGCACACACGAACGCTTCCGAGGCTTCCGCCGCAGCGGCCGCTACCTCGTCTCATATCGCTGATCGCTCATCACGCGCTTCGCTGGACGGTCGCGAGCGTGACCGCGGATACGACGAATGCAACGTGGCCAAACCAGTCGTCAAGAGCTTCTGGGGATGGCAGCTCGTGGACGCAAGGATGAAGCAGCGGCGAAAGGCGGACCAGCGCGCGGCGGCTCACCGGCGCCATGGCGGGCGCAACAAGATGGGCAGCGTCGTGGCGATGGCTCTGGGGCTGCCCGTGCCTGGACTGATCGGCACTGACGAGACAACCACTACGCGACATCCATCGCTGCTGATCGGATCTCTGCGCGGCGCCGGGCCGAGGTGGACTCGCATGCTGGCGACGCCCGAGCGAGGAAGCGATGACGAAGCTGCGGCTCATCCGATCCAGGACGATGACGACGACACGGATGACCCACGCGGGTGCACAGTCATGTGATGTGCTTGATGCATTCACCCACGGCATACTCTCAGAAAGCATGAATGTCTCCACGTTGCCAGGAGCGAGAAGCAGATGATGGAGTCAGGTAGCAATGCACAGGAAATTTCGGAGCACTTTGTTAGACTCTGGCAGAAGACGGGCTAGGCGCAGCGAAGTGGAGGCTGATGTCGTGTGTAAAACTTGGCCGCGGGGAAAGGGCCAAGCGGCTCACTTCGCAGCGTGTGGCCCGAGCGAGCACTAGCTGACACACTGAAGTGCCTGCGAAGTGCTTTCCGGCTCGACGCTCCTCGTCTTCTCATCACCACAACCACCCGGCTCATGATTCGTGTTGGCCGCTTGCTCACCACACGCTTCTCCACCACCTCTACCGTATCTTGCTCTCCGCTACGAGCTGGATTTGCCACGTCTGCCATCATCAAGATGAAGATCCATCCGGTTCCCGTTCGTGACGACAACTACGCGTACATTGTGCAGTCCTCTGTGGACGGCAAAGCAGTCTTTGTCGACCCGTACGATGTCCCCACCGTCCACAAAGCAGCCTCGTCCCTTGGAATTTCGGATGACAACATCGTAGGCCTTCTCACGACGCACCACCACCACGACCACTCTGGCGGCAACGAGACGTTCGCATCGACCTTCCCCAACCGTCCGATCTTTGGCGGTTCCAACCAGATCCCCGCGCTCACGAACCAGGTCAAAGACTCGCAGAAGCTCAACGATCTCCTGCAGGGTGTTGAGATCACGTGTCTTGCAACCCCATGCCACACCCAGGACCACATCTGCTACCACCTCAGTGACGGCGGTGAGAATGGCGTGCTTACGGGCGATACGCTGTTCATCTCTGGTAGCGGAAGATTCTTCGAGGGTCAACCCCATGAAATGCTTGCTGCGATGGATAAACTCTCCGCCCTCCCCGACAACACTGTGGTCTACTGTGGTCATGAATACACAAAGGCCAACGTAGCATTCTCTGCTGCAGTCCTGGATAAGGACGACCTGAAAAAAGTTGTCGACCAACTCAAAGCCGATTCCAACGCTGTCACCACCGGTGTATATTCGATCGCCGACGAGCGCAGACATAACCCCTTCATGCGATGCCGCGACTCTGCCGTCAAAAACAAGCTGACAAAGTATGCAGACGGCAAAAACCTCGACGACCCTGCTACCGTCATGGGCCTCCTCCGCCAACTCAAGAACGACGGAACCCTCAAGGCTAACATCTAACACTGCACAGCGCAATGCACACTTTTCCATCAGATGCGTCAAGGCGCTGTCATTCGTGAGCCTATGCGAGCGGCAGAGCGCGGATGCCCAGCAGACGGTACAGTTTGAAGTTGCGTCGCAGGAACAGCGGCGCATGCGTGCGCACCGTCGCATCGCGCCCTTCGTCCAGCGGCAGCGTAGCAACCCCATCGCTCGGCTCCATCTTGACCCCCACAGCCACTTCCGGGGCATCGTCGTGTTCGAGCTTGACGCGCGCCGTGCTCGAGCCGGCTATGCTGCGCGTGCGAGCCCAGTTGCTCCACAGCCTGCGCGCGTCGAGTGCAGCCGGTCGCAGCGCACGGTGCAGATGGCGTCCGAGCTTGGCCGCGCGCAGCTTGCGGTTGAGGTACGTGGTGCGGTGCGCCTGTGGCGCCGTGCGCGCCTTGTCGGCCGTCTGAGCGAGGTATCGACGCAGGCGGCGGATGCAGATGCGCAGCACGGCAGTGCGCGTCGCCGCGTGCGATTGCTTCCGCAGCGCAACGTATTCTCGTCGGCGGTGGCGCGGAAACAGCCCGGCCGGATCCGCCTGGCTCTGCGATGCGCAGCTCAGCGCATCGTCCGCGTCCGCCGCCACACCGGGCCCGCCCGGCTCGCCCGGCTCGCCACCAAGCGTGTGCAGCCGCGCAGCGATCGAGTTGCTCCATCGCGCCCAGGCGCGTGTGTCGAGCGTGGCCGAGGGCTTGCTGTCGCCAGCCGAGTGCGCCACCGCCAGCTGCGCCAGCCACACCAGCCGCCGCGACGCGTGGATAAAGAGCGTGTGCGTCTCGCGGTTCTGCGGCACACCCGCGTGCTCGCGCAGCGGCAGACAGCCGTCGAACTTGGCCGGCACGACGGTAGCCTTCGGCGGCGCCGGGCTATGTGAGCGGGATTTTGGTTCGGCTGGGGCAAACACCGTGCCCGACTGAAGAGTGGCCTTCGTGCGGCCAGGTGGTCGGCCGCGCCGTTTGGGAATCGGCGTTTTACTGTCATCCAGCTCTGGCTTCAGCGTCTCCTTCTTGACGGCGGCTATCTTGGCCGGCAGACGCAGGATGCTCGTTAGCTGCTCACTTGCGCGTGACTCGAGCAAGGGAGGTTGGAGCTCAGCTGGAACGGACGCACGATGTCGCTTGGGGTACTTGTGCTTGCTGTGCAAGGCCGACGTACCGTGGTCTTGCGCAGCGACGGGGCCAGCGGTCTTGGAGCCGCTTGCGCGTGGTGGCTGCGTCGATCCCGTCGCATCGGCAGATGACCAGCTCTCTGACGGCGGCGGCATCATGCCGGCCGGGATCGGATGTGGTTGAGACGCAAAGAACTGCGGCTGCGAGAAGGTGACCGAAGCGCTGAAGCTGGGATAGGCTATGGCGGGCACTGGGCCGGTAGACATCATGGGCTGCGTCCACGCCACGGTCGGGTTGGGCAGCGCCGTCATGCCGGGTGCGACGACGGGAGCGGACACTTGGAAGGGCGCATGGCTCTGGGTATATGGATAATACGCCATGCTTGCTGGCGGCACATAGGCGCCATAGGACGTGCTTGCGGTGGTCGGGATCGATGTAGGGACGTGAGGGTCGGCATGGCGGTGTTTTTCGGTGGTGTATGGTCGTGCGCGGCCCTTGCCTTTCGCTGCGGCCGACGCATAGCGCTGGGGAGCCTGTTCCGACCGAGAGGCAGAAGACGCCACATGCTCGCGGTTTGCTGCGTGAGACCGCGCCTGCGCTTGGTCCTTGACGGAGGGATGTGTCTTGGCCGCCGACGCTTTGCGTTGAGACGCGAGCGCCAGGACATGCTGCCTCGCGTGGCCCGAAGGTCGTGCAGCTTCCCCTACCTCCTTGGTCAGGTGGGATCGATGTGGCTTTTGAGATGACCGTGGCCTCGCGTCGCGCTTGACTGATGAGGTGCTCGGACCCTGCTGTTCTGCTACAGACGAAGACGAGGTCGAGAAGAGGCGCTGGTACGCCTGCTCGAACTCGAGATCGACGTCTCTCCGGCTCATCGTGGTGCGTTCGAGGGTGTGCTGCTGGACGTATCGTGCGTCATGCCGACTCGAGCCCGCTATTGAGCGATAACGCGCATTCTTAGTTCAGTCCCATGGACGTCGGATGGTAGTAAGCAGCGGGTGCTGGAGGCCGTGGCTCAGCTAGGATGTAGGCAAAGAAGGTCAGGGTCCACCGCTCCGCAGCCTTTGCGTGGAGCTTGCATTCCACCTGTAAAATCACACTTTCGCCAAATCACATCTCGCCCACTCAGCGACGCGACCTTCTCGGCACCCCGATTGGTCTCGTTCCTGGTGTCGTTTGTAGGCGCGACGCGCACCCGCCTCCTCGCTCTCCCCATCGCACATCCTCGTCCATGCACACGTTCTCATCTCACTGGTCAACATCACAAAGTCCAAGACAAACAAGCGCGATTTGGAGGCATGATAGTGTTATGAGAAATTGCTGCGGACTCTTTGCGAGCCTTCTGATGCTGCGATATGGTGTGGTGATTCTTTTTTGGAGAAACAGGTGGGGGTGGAGAAGGGAGACAAGACAGGCCAACGGCAGCCGTGCTGGGGACGTTCAACATGAATTGCAGGGGAGGAATGAGATGCGGAGACGAGCCTCGTCTTTCGACGAGATACTTCGTCCTTGGTCGTCGGTATGGGCGTACCAATCGACCTTTTCGATCGTGAATCAACCCATCCGATGATGCAGGACAGGAGAGGCAGAAGGGTGGGAAAGTGAGGGAGAGGAAGATACTGATGAAAGAATGTCGAGCTCCACGGATCAACAAGCCGCTCGACACCTTACACCAGCAGGATCGGGGAGAATCGTGCAGCTAGCCCGCGTATCTTTGGCACCGCTTGAAGAAAAAGTACAAGAGGGAACCCGAAATGGTAGCGGCCGCACAAGGAGACGCGCGCAGCTGTTGTGCCCACTCGCCCGCAGGAGCCACCATCGAGCCTGGACCCGAGAGCGTGGCGGCTGCCGACGACGCATGCGCACGACGAACCAACAACCGCTTTAACGGTTGGAGCGGGCAACACGCTCCATCTCGTCACGCTTCTTGATGGCGTACGAGTTGGACGAACCCTTGGCGGCGTTGATCAGCTCGTCGGCGAGGCACTCGGCGATCGACTTGACGTTGCGGAAGGCCGACTCGCGGGTGCCGGTGGTGAGCAGCGTGATGGCGGTGTTGACACGGCGGAGAGGCGACACGTCGACGGCCTGGCGACGGACGGTACCAGCCGAGCCGATACGGGTCGAGTCCTCACGGGGACCAGTGTTGATGATGGCGTCAACGAGAATCTGGATGGGGTTGGCGTCGGTGAGCAGGTTGATGATCTCAAAGGCGTGGGCGACGATGCGGACGGCCATGAGCTTCTTGCCGTTGTTGCGGCCGTGCATCATGAGCGAGTTGACCAGGCGCTCGACGATGGGGGTCTGGGCCTTCTTGAAGGCCTTCTTCTGGTAGCGACCAGCGGTGTGAGGGGTGTAGACGGCATTGCGGAGGGCAATGTAGTCGGTCAGGGAGATGTCCTTGACCTCGACCTCCTGGGGGCTGTAGTGCGGAGAATGCAGCGAATGCGGAAATGAAGGTCAGTACACTGTCGACAAGAGGGCTACAGCCGAGAAAGAGCAGAAAGACGAGGACACGCCGGTTCCCCGTTTTGACATCCTGATCCACGCTCCGAGTTGCTGCGAGTATCATGACTTCCTCCTCCGTCAGCCTCCTTCCTGTCTGACCAGCTGCTTCTTGGTCCCTCTCGTGCGTCCGCGAGTCCTCATCGTCTCTGATCCTCCCGTCTCGGTGCGTTCGCGAGACATGGCCTTGCATTCCACCGTCTTCTCGCCTCCATCCGGTGTGCTGCTGCGTCTTTCTGCGTTGTGCAATATGCTGGTGATGGTACTTACTCCCACTTGCCGAAGAGGCGAACACCACCAACCTGGGGGGCGGCGACGGCAGCGACGTCCTCTGTAAGATGCGATGACGGGTTCATCAGATCAAGGTAAAGTCAGTATTACGGTTCCTTGCGTAAGGTTGAGAGATGTTGGTAAGCGATGGCAGCTTCCTTTCGGCAGTAGGCGAGACGTCGATTCAAAGTCACGAGAGAGCATGCTGTTGGAGAGCGCTGGTTGTCGAGAGCAATTCGAGTCGAGGATTGGGCACCATCATCGATGCGACTATGAGTGTGCACATCCACATCGTTGCAGGGTAGTGCGTTGCCTGCACGAAGACGACTTCGTCGATGGCATCGAGCCCACTGACGTCCACAAAGAGGTCTGGCGTGCATAGTGCTGTCCTCTTCCATGCGTGATCCTCCTAACCTGTACATGCTTTGCCGGAAATGCCGTGCCGGGTGCGCTGGTGGTCCCACCCATCGAGCTGTGCACGTTGCGATGTCGCCCGTGCTTGCCCTCTTCTCCTCCAAATCACTGCTGCTGTATGCTATGCTGCTGATGTATGCTCTTCGATGTCTCTCGTGTGCTTTGTCGTCGTGTCGATGCCGATTGCCGGAAGAAAGCTGCGCGTCGCTGTACCGTCCAGGCTCGTCGTCGAGCCACAGCGAAACTCACTAGGAATTCCGACCTTGGCAGCCATGTTGGGCGATATGTGTGTCGATATGTCTTTTGTCCACGAACGGGAACAAAAAGTCAAGAAGGGTGATGAGGGTCTTGAAGAGGTGGTTGGTGGGAGTGCAGCAATCGTTATCTCCAAGACGCTTCCTAGCACCTGCCACCGCTCTCGCGCCTTGGGCCGCGCGCCAACTGGCCACCCGCACGCTGTGTGCGGCTCCGCATGGACTGCCTCTCGCCAACCGGACCTCGGAAGCTGCCTCTCACCCAAGCTTCCCCTGGCCTCTCTCTCTCTCTCTCAACCCCAGCCTGGCTTGGCTGCTCGATCTAGGCGCTGCCTTCTCGCCGTTGCCTGGCGGCCGCCCACCAGCTCGAGGCCACTCGCATCCTCGACGGCTGTCCTCTCCTCTGACGCTGCAGCTGGCCTGCGATTTCAAATTTCTGCAAGGGATCGAATTTTACTTACTAGTCGCCCGCAGATCGAATACAATTCGAATTCACCACTCCACTTTCTGGCTCAGTCATATCACGTGCCGCGTGTCAATCTTCGGCCGAGCTTTGACGCCGCCTGATTTCGTCGAAATCGATCGGATCTTCAAAGCATTGGCAATATCTCCCGATCCTGAACGCCTTCGCAACTCCACCGCCACGTGTGACGCAGGCTGCAGCTCGGTGCGTCTGATCAACGCATGCCAGCCCTTCATCTCAAGCTCCCGCCTTGATCCCACCGTTCTCACCTGTGACACCCGCGCAATGATCACACCGCAGTCATTGCTCCAAGACATATGGTATACAGCCGAGTGCTTCCAGAGATTCAAATAATTGTACATGCCAAATGACAGCGATCGGCGTGGCTTGGCCCGCGAGTGAAGAGTGGTGAAAGGAGGGGGCGAGCCGAGGTGCAGCTCGCACTTCAAAAGCACGAGGGACGGGCGACGTTGGACCTCGCAGCGCGTTGAGGCCATGGGGTGGAGCTTGTGTCGTATGCTCTGATCGGCCCATCATCGAGGCTGAGAGTGCGACATTCTCAGACACCGCCCCTGGCCTGCTTCTTCGGCGGCTTTTCGGCAGCAGTGCTCGCCTCCGACTTGGCTTCCGCCGGCGGTGGCGCTTTGAACGTGGCCGTCGACTTGACCGAATCCAGATCCGCGAGGTTGAGCACCGTAAGTTTTCGGTCCGCCTGTGAGATCGCAAGTTGGTGACGCTTGGCCAGCCTCGGCGGCTGGTCGGCCGTACCCTCTTCCTTCTCTCCTTCCTCCTGCTTGGTCTCGACCGTGTCGTGCAGATCCTTCCATGCGATGTCGAAGATAGCGCCGCCGCCCACGTATTGCTGAACCAGAGCACCGTTGTCAACGCGCGAGATGACCACCTTCTTGTCGATGCCTCCTGTAGCCAGGTAACGTGCGCACGGACTGAAGCGCAGCGTGTACACGTTGTCTTCGTGCGCATCGATGACGCGCAGGCACTCGCCAGTGTCGGCATTCCACAGTCTGGCCGTCCAGTCAAAGGAACTGGTGGCAAGCATGCGTGGCTGGTCCGGATTTGCCGAGCCAGGGCCGGTGGGGCACCAGGCGAGCGCGTAGAGCTCCTTGGTGTGGCCCGACAGCGTGAGCCGCAGACCCTTGTTGGGACCCTTTGCGGTAGTGGCGATGAGGGCGGAAGAAGTCGTGTGGTTGGCGGCCGAGCCCGCGTGACCGTTGCTGCCCGGTGCTGGCGACGAGGCTTCCTTGTTGGATGCAGCAGGCGCTGCTGCGGAAGCAGCATTACCGCTGGCGGTCCCCGGCGTGGCGCGGTCCTTCTCTCGGTCGCGATCGCCGGATCCATCTTCGTTGGGGCGCGGCGTGGGCTCTTCGTCCACATCCATGCCGTCGAGGTGCGCGCTGCCGCCCCGGCGCTGCGAAGCTCGCTTGCGCAAGTTGTCTCCCCCTGAACTGATCGTCGAAGCCGCGCCACCGGCATTGGCGCCGATGTCCAGCGCCCAGATCTTAGCGGTCATGTCGTCCGAGACCGACGCAAGCAGCGTCTGCGAAGGGTCAAAGCGAATCGCGTTGACCTCGTCGGTGTGGCCCTTGAAGGTCTTGACCGGCTTGGGCTCGCCGAGCTTGCACAACGTGATGCTGTTGTCCGCCGAGCAGGACGCAAAGTAGGTGTCGGCTACCGACGGGCTCAGGCCGTGCGGCATGGGAGGCGGCACATCCGACGACGAGTTGGGCTTGAGCGAGCCATCTGCCGTGGACAGCCACTCGACATCCAGGACGCTGTCACTGTGCAGGGGGAAGGTGTGTCGAGGCTTGCCGCTGTTCAAATCCCAGACGATGATGGTGCCGTCGGCGCTGCCCGTGAGCAACATGTTGCCCTTGCGATTCCAGCGGACGCTGATCACAGGTCCCTGATGCATGGACATGACGAGATGCAGGTCGCCCTGGGGCGTCCAAAG